GTAGCGTCCTTGCTCCTAGTAGTAATGCCAGGAGCTACTAGTAGCGTTCTTGCTACTAGTAGCGATGCCCTGGCTCCTAGTAGCTTCTTGCTCCTAGGTAAAAGTGAATTTGTACTCCTGTCGGTGAACCCTCTGCAGAGATTGTGCGTGTTGAGTGCTCAACGTGAGGTGACATGTGAATTCTCACAGAGATCGTGCTTGTCGAGTTGCCAAAGTGTGCAGCTGTCGTCGAAAATCAAAATGGCAGCAAAAGAGTGTATACTGTAACTGTTGTCGGAAATCAAAGTGGAAGTTGCCAAAGTGTGTAAGTGTGGTCGAAAATCAAGGTCGAAGTTGCCAAATCAAAATCTAATATTGTTTCTGGTTGTAGTGCAAATGTAGTGCGGGAAGCAGCTTCTGGGAGCTGAAATAGATCAAACGACAGGCTACGTGAGCAACACAATCCTAATTTTTGATGATTGAACTTTGTGGTTGTTGTTTGTTTGGATTTGTTGTTTTGTGGAGTCACGGCTGCATCAGCCACAGTCGCGGCTCATGGCGAGCTGCGGCGTGCAGCCGAGCTACCAGGGCCGGTCTTCCACCTTCGGCCACCCATGCGCAATGGGAAAAAGATGCGAGTATCTGGCGTTGCACTCTCTTTCATTATCATGATTCTCATCGTCAATATGATCTTCATCATCTTCTTCATCATCTATTATCATGATCATCATTCTCGTGCTCTTCATCATCTCAATTCTTTGCTAGGATCACAGTGTTTTTCGAACTCAACATTTCAGAGTGTCTTTCAATCGCTCGCTCCCTCCTGCTCTGCTTTCCACCCTGTCGTCTCGCTCTGTTTGGCCACTCCAAATGAGGGCACCCCGACGCTTTGGAAAGGGCCAACATCAAAGAGCCACGAAAAGCGTAGAATCCATCAACTGACACACTCTGAAAGAGTGAACACTGAAACAACTCGAAAGTGATGCAACATGATAATATTCTTGGTGGTAGACTGTAGAATGCATTTTCGCTGAGGCCTGTTTTTTATACATGTAAGTTCATGTAAGTATCTACACACACATTCGGACCATGCGTCCATGAGTATGAGACAAACAGCCAAGGAAGTGAGAAGTGAGAAGTTAAAACCGCCACGGCAGCCAAGGAGATAGAAAGAGTAGAAATGAGAAAAACAGAGCGAAGTCTAAGATCTGAGAAGCTCTTTGAGCTGAGAACCCCGCTGTTGAAGTGTGGTATGTTGTAAGGTGGATGTTTACTTCCTTTATCTTCCTTTGACTTTGTGTATTTGCAATTGAATCGGGAGGCATGGCCAGGCCGATTCGAAACGGTGAAAGGTGTCAGGTCGACCCACCAAGCCCCTCATGAGGCCGCTGGCTTTATGCACTCGTGACTCAGCGGTAACATGAAACGAACATGCCATAGCATACTGCCATTGCAATCATATTGTATAAATGAAAACAAATAATGAAATTGTTAGAATATGTTAGAACAATTGAAAGGCCAATGAAAGGAAGAAAATCCAGAATGTCTTGCTTCAGGAGTTCTGTCATGAGTTCTGTGACCTCTTGGTTTCCTGTTGGGCTTTCGCTGATGCGCTCATCGCTGATGTCGCTTTGAGTCCAAGACTTCATGCGCGAAGGTGAAGTTCGGACAGGAGCCCGAGGAACTAAGCTTCCTCAGACCCCGCTAAGAGAGGCGCACGCGTCTGAGGGAGCGCAGATCCTTCCATCCACTCTATGTGTCAGACCCCTTCAGGACTTCTACCGTGGGATCTGAGACAAAGTCTCCTGAAAGGCGAAACGTCAAAGCCAACTTGATCTCAAAACAGCACAAAGATGCACAAAGCGAACTCATGACAAGTTGCTGTCGACTTTGTATTGACCTGGCTCCAGGTGCCTCAAGTAAAGCAGTCTTGGCTTTGTTCAAGTGGGACACTGTCCAGTCAGTCCAAAAGTTCTCAAAGACTCAATGCCCACCCAGTTTGACTTTCGATCAACTTGGAGATCGGCTGTGCTGCAGATGAAGCCGCCTTATCCATAAACCAGTTATCATTCCAGCCTTAGCCGAAAGCGGCTACTCCGCAACACTGGTCCCAATCGGAGCAGGCGCATGAGACGAGAGCAGGGCTAATGGTCCACTCCGGAGCTCGTCGTTTATCTCCGATCTTGTCCAAATACCTGTCAAACCAACGTCATAGTTCATGTTCAAACCGCAATGTTCACAGAAACATCTATGTTCACTCCAAATGCCCTGCGATCGGCCCTGCCTTCTGAACTCCAATAAATCTGGCTCTTCGGAATTCAGCATGGCTGCTTGACGAGAATCAGGTGGAGACTGAACTAGATCATATGCAAGTTCAATGCAAATCGATGTCATTGGTTAGCAAACCATGATTTGTCTGCTGTGGAGATAACTTATCATAGCTCTGCAACGCGAGCCAATGGCATCAAAACATGACCGAGCTCCGAAGCAACCAGATCTAAAACAACAAGTTGACCAAAAGTGTAACATACCTCAGTTGTCTCAACCATCTCTGGAGCTTCTTCGCCCTATTTGTCGTTGGCTTGCAACCGCATGCACCAGCATGTGGTTGAGACCGGAGTCGCCAGCTCTTTTTGCATAGTTTTAGACGTTCCAGGCGGGTGGGTCAAAGCGACGAAGTCCTCCACAGCTTATGGCTGTGTGGAGTCTTTTCGGACAACTTTAAGAGAACCTCTATCTTACGCTTTGCGACCGATGGAAAGAGGGGTCATCTTCAAAAAACAGTCACGACTGCGCCGGATGGTGCGCAAAGAGACCCTAGCTATCATGCCTGAAAAATGAATTATTGTTCGAAGTAAATCACCGAGGCAAACTATACCCTTGTCCATCTTTGTCATGCATCTATCCTGACCAAGTTGTTGAGGTGGGCCCACATGGCCGGCACCATCAAAATTTTGGTCGGATTGTGTCGTAAAGAAGAAGCTGCACCATGACGATGATCGTCATTTGCAAGATTCTGGTTTGCCAACCAGAGAAAAGGCCTATGAATCCAAGACGTCTTGCCGCGTCTCGCATCTGCTTCCAGACACTCATCGGCTTATCTTCCCAAAAGTCTTCCTCGTTCAAGGGCAAAGGGCATGTGCCACTCCCACCAGCCACCGAAATGCAAGTGAACACAGTGTCAGCAGGCTGAGATGCCATGGTTGCTGCGGTGGCTGCACAAAATGCCGCAAGGACACGAGCAAGTAGCGGGTTTAGCCAAAATTGATAGGTGCTTGAGAGCACATCGTAGGTGACAAGCTTCGCAACAGTGTAAGAGCACTGCTTTGCTAAGAGAGGGATCAAAGCTCCAAACCATCCATTCCAAACTCCTTGATCATTTTTTAGCTGCTGAAGAGCCAGCCATGTATTCAGTCCAAACATGGACAAGATCCTTGCACGAGCAGCCGTCCGTTAAATTATCTGAAACCAAAGGAATCTGTGTTTGTTTTACCAAAAAGGGACTACAAAATGACCCTTTAATTAACTGATAGGTTATCATCCCCAACCGTGAAATTGTCCAAAAGGTAGGACTTTTTGGGGGGTGTACCATATATATATATACACATTATATACAAGGGTCAACAAAAAGGCCGAAACGAGTTTAATGACTTCGAAGGCACATGTGGATCCCATGCATGGGAGCTCGCGTTGATTGCTTGCAGAATCGTTCCCAGGCCTCTCGAGCTGGCATCACGAACTCTGGATCTGCCACGAGCATGATCCTTGCGGCCTCTGCAGGGCAAAGCACGATGGTGGCCAGCATCTCAGCCAGGAAAGCGCACAAACAAAGCACTGGGATATGCATGGCCAGTGAAACCTTGTGGATTTGAAAAATGGATTTCCATATCTCAAAAAGTCCATATTTGAAAGCTCCATGAAGGAAGTATCCAGTAAAGGTGGCTCCAGCTCCACTGAGAAGTCTGCGAGGCCCATGCGATTGCACCAGCTTGTAAGCCATTGCAAGCATTCCCCGGCTGCCCTTGATCCCCTTTCTCTCATTTCGCTCTTCTTCTGCCTGCTGCGATGTCTTCACCACATCAATGGGCGTTGCAATCACATGCGACAGACTTGAACAAATGCCACCAGCCACAAAAAAGCCGAAGGGGCCTAAGAGTCCCAACGCATGTGAAGGACTAGGCAGGAGAGGCGATAAAGGCAGTGCAGTGAGCTTGCTTCGTGTACTTCGTGTACTTTGCATTCTCTTTCGAAATGCGTCACTTTCTCTATTCGCCAATGCTGGCTTTCCAATTGGCGCCAATTGGCTTCTTTGCTTCGCCACTTCACTGCCGAGGCCTTCACCGCCTCTTCCACATGGCCGGCCAGGCGCCACGAAGGCAGCTCCGGCGGCCGCCAGGAGCAGCGCTCGGAGCAGCGCTCGGAGCACCCGGAGGAAGGAGCTCCGTTGGGAGCTCCGAGAGTGAGCTGTCATGGTCTCATGGCAAAAAAGAAGCTGGATCAGATGTTTCAACTAACCTGGATCTATTGGGGATTTGCTGTGAGTTTTGGTCATTGGATGTCTGGCATGGGTAGTGGTGCACTATCTTTGCTCAATTCGCGTTAAAGCCAGATCTTTGGACGTGAAATCAAATGCCCTGGAGGTTTGAGATACACAAATAGCACTTTTCAGAAGGCATGAAAATGCGGATGACTCCAAACACTTTCCAAGTCAATCATGCTCCTCAAGTTTCATGCTGAGGCACAGGCCTGGTTGTTGCTGTAGCTTCCCGGATGGCCTCGTAGGGATGCTGAAGCCCACAACAATCAAGTGTCATCAATATGCTCAGACCACCAGCTCCACTCTTCGCTGAGAGCTGCACTGGGACCACTTTGTCCCATGCCTGGAGCTGAGAGCGTCCAGGGATGCACATGTTGTTCCACTCCCTCCGAATGGCAACGCATGGCTCTGCAGGTTCTGGGATTCCTTGCCACCTCCCAGATCGTACATCTGCCGCTTGTTCGGGTCGGACAATGTCTGGCAAAGGAGAAGGTCAATGACATCTAGCAAAAAAATGCAAAAAGCATACATGTTCGGTTCCAGTCGGGACATCACAACCCTTGCCCCAGCGGGGACAAGGACATCACAAGATAACTTGAGAGTGTGAACGTCATGCAACCCACCTCGTAGGCATTGGCAACTTGGCTAAATCGCTTCTGTGCCTGAGAAGGATTGGTGGTCCCTAAATTGCAATCTTCAAAGCGTTCAAGCTAGAGATCAGGAAGCACCAAAATCTGCAACTCGAACACCTTTCACACAACTGGCCTCCTCTCGCTTTTCAGGGGGTTGCCTATCTGGATGCCACTCCATTGCCTGTGGCAGGCTAGGCTGTATGAGGATTTAGCACTCGGAGTTGTTCAACTAAGATTGAAAAGGTTTCCCCCAGTCTTTCATTCAGTGCAAGCAAGGTTTGGACCAGGAGCTGTTGCTGCACCAGTGGCTTCAGTGAGCTCTAGCTGCTTAACAGCACGACATTCCTATCGCAACATTTGACTAGCTCCTGCTTCTTGTAGGCTTTCTTGATCTCTTCTTGCGAAGCATTGCGATCAACCCCTAGAATCCTTGGAGCAAGAGGAGCATCGCACAAGTGTGGTTCAACGCCAAACGCGCATTAAACAAGCTGAGATTCTTGTACGGGTCACTTTCGCTGGCAGAAGAAAATGTCCTGCCAGCGTGCTGCGTGACTGTTAAACTGTTCCCTGACAGGGCGACTCAGTTTGGCAAGAGTCAAATAGGCTGGAGTCCAGTCACATGAACGTACTATAGGTGATGATAAGTGATAAGTGATAAAAGAGTCATCAAAATCTCTGGCTCACCCAGTAACGCAGCACAGTCAGCCAAAAACGTCCTTACACCAAGCACGTGCCCCTCATGTCCTTGGCATTTGCATGGTTTGAAGGTAGAACGTGTAATCAGAAAAAACCGAGTACAAAATGTACCAGAAACATCTCTGTGTGTCCAGGCCTGCATGGAGGAAACACGTCCGATGCCAGGGCCCAGCCCAACCTCCCACGGCGTGCGTGCGTGCGTTCCGATCGGAATCAGACTTCGCTTCAAGCTGCGACGTGCGGCGGATCGGCCTCGAGTGGGTCTGCCCTTAACAAGCGAGAGGCAAGGAAGTCGCCTGGTATATACCAACAATTCAATGGAACATGGAACATAATGGCATGTTGTGTGGAAGGCTTGCTGAACTCAGTCTACAGAACCAGTTTGGGGTCTGCCATCATCTGCATTCGGTGCACCTCGCGCAAAGGCGATACATTCCATACATCAAGCATTGGGCGGCTTGTAGCTGGACACTCCGTGACAAGTGAGATGTTATCACTAAAGAACCGTGACACAATGAGATTAGGTCATTTAGAGGAAGAATGACATGCTTTGCATTGGTACATGGTACTAGTACAGTATATCTCGACTGTGAGAAGGTTGGGCTGGGCAGGGCACATCATGTGCTCCGTGAAACCTTCTATTGAACAAAACTGAGCCAAATGCTTTCAGAACCTTCGAGCAAAAGCAAAGCCAAGACAAAGCAAACCGAGATCATTCGAGACAAAGCAAAGCCTTTGAGATGCTGGGACGCAATGCGAAACTCAAACAACATGTTGAAACTTTGCAGCTGAACCTTCTCACAGTCCGTTCGCCCGGCATTGAGTGGCTGAAGCCTGGATTCAGACCGCAATGGTGGAACCCTTTTTCTATGTTTTTTCTCCATCTGCGATCTCTTCTTGACTCGCAGCTAGCAAGTGATACCCACATTGATGTGGTCCGGTGCTCGGATCTTTCAGGGAAGGTTCATCAGCTTTGCCTCCTCAATCGCATGACCACAACACCACTGGACCCTCCGATTGCTCCAACTTTGAGTGTTCTAGAAAGGCATCCCAAACAAACACTGCACAGGCAGAATCGCCTTACCTTCAGCCTCTATGCCCATTCCACGAAACCAGCGTCATCCTATCCAACCAACACAAGCGCAAGCGCCGCAAGTGAGGTGCCTTGGGCACTGGGCGGTGCCAGGCACCCAAAGCCCCGCACACACGAGAAGCCCAGCACACATGCGAAATTCTAGCAACCACCGATCCAATGGACAAACGCTTGCGCATGTCAGCAATTCACTCAGGGATGGTAAGGGATCCAACATTCACTCAGCCTCCGATCATCAACACCTGCATACACCTGCTCTCCTCGCCAGGCTCAGTGCGACCAAGCCCACGACCGCCACAGTGAAGTACCTCGACGGTTTCCACGGGGACGTGGAATCGCAACAAGGACGCGGTGTGCTCTTCGTTTGTTAGGGTAATTATGGGCCATTTGCATCCCTGCCAACAAATTGGGTGATTGTGATTAACGATCTACGTAACTTGCACTTCACTGGCTCATGAAGGGCTTGATCCCTACAATTCATTGTGTCAGGGCACGGCCAGTAAGATGCTTGCGACACTGTCTGCGTGCACCTTACAAATACGTGGCGGAAGGCAAAACTGCACAAAACAACAAGAAAAGCTAGATGTATTCTTGAAATTTTGAACATCTGTGTGAAAAACTCCGTTCGCATTGTAAAACACTGGGTGCCATGCTTGTGGGCAGAGCCAACTTCTGTCCCAGTTGCGGTGGATGCCAACTCTGGTGCTGGTGGCACCTTGAAAAGGGCACTCGGGCTGATCAACAGGCCTTGATGCCGGAATGAAAACTATGTAATTATGGCAAGCACAGGTCATTCGGTCCATCTACAGCAAATGTATGCGTATATATGATATATATATATATATGCGTGTCTAAGGTCTTTCCTTCACCTGCTCCAACTTTGTTTTTTCATGATTTTCCAAATCATATCCCAGCCTACCCGCCTGTGTCTGGCTGGAAGCTGATGCGAAACTCACCTGCGCCTGTGTCCCAGCGGACATCAACACCTGGCTGAGTGGAGTGTGGACTCATCCATTATCTCAGGTAGTGCAGGAACAGTGAACCCAAACGAACCATGTACAAAGCTGGTCCTTTTTCTTCACCACTCGGAAAATGATCTGTTGTTCTTTCGGTTTGACACACCCTCATCGCAGGTTGCAACAGGTCGCAACACTGAAACTGCGTGCTTCAAGCGATGTGGGAGCGGCTGGCTGGACGCTGCACTGCGTCCCAAAGTCCATGGTGCTACAGGAACCTGTCAAATAATCAACAAAAATCACTCCTGTGGGGAGCCGCCGGCCACACAGAAACAGCCAATATCGAACAGCATTGTACTATATAACCTGGAGCTTGCCTCCGGAATCTCCCATCATGGCTCCCTGGCAGAAAGTCAATTGGGCGGGGCAAAAGCCCTTTTCGACATGCTTAGACCAATCCTCCACCTGCTCAGCAAGGATGTCGACTCCGGTCAGCCGCACATTTGAGGATGTTGCGGTCTGAAAAATAGCGATGAACAACTGAATCATGCAGATCCAGGCTGTCAATCCACATTGGTGATCTAGAGGAAACACGAGGATGCCTCACAGGTTGGAGGTTGTTGTTTCTACAGATTCCCACATTTCGTCGCAACCATTGCTTCAAGCTGTTCTTATTGGGTGTTCGAGATCTCACATGTATGTATTGTGCCTATGTGACCATGTGATCTGCATCATCTACCGAATCTACCTCAGCTACTGTGATGCAGCGGGTCAAGTCAGCTCAATGAAGATTATGAGTTCCGATCTCCACCATTTCGAAGCAAGCCTTTACATATGTTACATCGATCGAAGTCAAGGCAAGGGTGATTCCTTTTCACAAAGCAAAGAGCGCGTACTCGGTCCAGTCCTCAAGCATTTCGATGTCATCCAATTCTTTCGATGTCAGGCGATACATGGCGCTACACACACAGGAATGATCATGAATCAATCAATGAGGCTCAAGATCCTTCAACTCATTTTTCCCTGACTGTGGACTTTCAATTTAACACCCACCCAGAACAACCGTCCCTCGACAAATCTTCTTTGTCCTCGAGGTTGATGGAGACCAATTGACAAAGCTTCCTGACCATCCGAAGCGGTGAAAGCCGCCAATTACTGCGGTGATTGGACTTGGATGAAAGTCGCGGCACGTCACGACCGTCCGATTATCTTCACCCATCCTACACCAACATCAAGCACTTGAAGCTGTTGCCTCTAAAGCAAGCCAAAAAGCAAAGAATAAACTAAGATAAACTAAGAGTGTTCAATTTGTCTGCCTCAAATTGAAGGGCGGCAGGGAATAGTCATACCTGGCACAATTTCAGTCATCATGTGTTCTCACTTGCGTTCTCCCTTTGTCTTGAGCGCCTCAAGTTGCTGAGTCGCGCGCGGGGCATAGTGTGCATGATGACCTTTTGTTTCACCCAGTTGATTTGGCGCGCCACGGTGGATGTTCGTCACCAGGTATCTGGCGATCTGTGACAACTCCGTGTGACTGATGGTGATTTCAGAACGAAACACGCAGCACATCTGAATCATCTGAACGAAAAGCGCAGCTTCAAACTGTGTTGAAGTCGATATGCCTCGTTCCAGAAGATTGTAGCACGTGCAGGGCTCGCACAGCATCATCCAGGAACATGTGGTTTAATGTCTCCTTGCACTTTCAGCTCCATTGGGGTGGTGCAAAATGTCTTGCTTCAGCAGTGAGATGGTTGAGCATCTGCTCGGTTGCACATTGTTTCATATGCTCTACACTATTAACATCTATAGATAGTAGACATCTATTTACATGTGTGCCTGTTTATGTTGCTGCTTGTTTTTCTTCAATATATAAACATCTATCTTACTGTGGTCGTGATGCCGACGGAGCTGTCCTTGGAGAAGACAAAGTCCGTGGCTGGCAGCGAAGTCTCTCGGCTGAAGTCTGCGGCCATGAACCTCACGGAACCCGACGAACGCGGTCGAAACCTCTCTTGGGCTCGAGCTAACGGATGTGAAACTGACCAAATGTGCCTGTCTAAAAAGGCCTAATTATTAGTGGGCCCCTGGGGAGCTTGGAGCCTGGTGGTAATAAATAATTACGTGTGTATCTCGATAATGCAAAGCCTGTGCCTTGTGGGCACAGATACTTACAAAAATCGAAGGTAACCATGCTTCTTCTTGCAATAACTCCTGATTTGTCTCTGTAATTATGTCTCCATTCCAATGAGCTCTGGATAACATGTTGTCCACATCTTGAGCCCATGCTTACACTCATTCTTTGGCCTCGAATCATAGTCAACCGAGTGCAGTCAGCAATCGCTTGAATGGAGCCACTTGAAATTCCCTGCCTCAATGCCGGAAATTTCTGCCGGTTTTCCTCTCCGTCAGCGCATCAGTGGTCGCTGAATGGCCGCAACATCTCGCATCGTATTGCATCTTGCATATCCAGGTGGATTCCAAACTCCCTGCTTAAACATGCCCTTCATGACTTGGGACTTTTTCGGACACTACATATTTTGCGTTCGATTTTCAGCGTTTGATCCTCAATGACATGCTCCACGATGTCCACTCCAGTGTACTTGACCTGAGCAATGTGAGGCCAAAACTGGTTTTGAGATGGATCCAAACAAATGCGCGCACCACTGAGACACACATCTAGGGCGGCAACCTCAGGTCTTCTCGAAAGGAATCCACATGCAATCCTGACACTGTCCAGAATGAGGACGCACCAATCCAAGTTCAAAGTGATCCCAGTCACATCGGAGTCCATTTCGTCCGCCTTTCGGTCTCCCGACCCTCCGGTCCAGGCGGCATCGCCACAAGCAGCATCCAGCATCGAGGTGGCTTCCAACCTCCAAACGCGGAGGAACGGAACAACGTGGCCGTGGCGACTTTCGTGCCAAGAGACAGATCCACAGCCATGTCCAATGCTGTGATGGCAATGCGCGCCATGGGATGGAAGGGATCAGACCTGGTGAGATTGGATTCTTGGAGTCTCAAGACGCCTTTCTCCAGCTACCGCTAGCGAATCACGAAGTCAGAAAGGCATTGAAAAGGCTCTCGGCTCTCACTCGTGGACGTCCTCATTTCTCTGAAATCGAAGTGGGTGTCAAAGGACACCGGGCTGCCACGTCATTGTGAAATGGTGAGATGAGAAGATCGTGCTGCCGCGAAGCACTGCGAGGCACTGCCAAGCAAGCTGAATTTAGGTATCATCTGGAGCACGATGATATTGAAGCTTCACCCTTCACGCGGACACAAGAGAACCTTGCATTGAACTCTTCAGTTTTACTTCTTGTGGGTGGTGATGCCGTCTGCTGAAATGGAAGATCGGGTCCAATACAAACAACTATACCAGTAGTTTCCATAGATGTTCTTAGATTGCCTAGATCACGGCACACTCCGTCTCAGCACGTCTGAGGTCACGCTCGGCTTTGTACTCACGCACCTTGGAGGACAAGAACTGGCGGACCTGAGATCCTGCTTCTTTCGTTTCTTCCATCTCTTTCGTTTCTTTAGACTTTAGACCTGCTTGGCCTCTTTCTTCTTTCTTTGCACTCAACGAAAATCCGGACGTCGTTGATCCATATCTATGAATGGAACTTAATATGCAAAGAACATGCTGGAGTGCCCCTTTGTTCCGCGACACTGTTTCAGCATTGATTGTTTTATTTGTTCAAAAGTATCACAAAGGTATCACAGCCGGATCGCTCCGACTTGCTTCAGGCCTCTCGCAAGGTGCGACAGTAGGCTTGACGAAGTGCCTGAAGCAGCTTCCACTTTCCCATCAAATTTACAAAACATGAGAAGAGCAATGGGGAACATCCACTTACAATGACACTGAGTGGATTCTCTTCACAGCCTGGAGTGTCCCAGCAGCATCTGCTTGATCCCAGCGCCTTTGGACCTGGGAACTGCGACACAATAGGAGCAATGATCGCTACTACAGGCTCCTGGCATCGCTACTAGGAGCAAGGACGCTACTAGGGGCTCCTGGCCTTACTACTAGGAGCAAGAGGACGCTACTGGTAACAAAGGGCATGACACAATCACCAAAATACCGTTGGCTGCCAACAACTTTCGCTCTCTAAGGTCCCAGCAGCGGTGTCGCCAAACATCCCTGCCACTGTGGCGGCATAAGCCCGGCCCTGCCGGAAGTGTTCGGGAAATTTTGGCGGATACAATTTGATCATGGGTCATCATGAGTCATCATACATGTTCGCATATTGAATATTTCAGCGTGAGAGACCTTGGCTAGGGGCGCTGGGTGGGGCATTTTTGGAAGTCCACGGCCCCAACAAAAGTGTCCATGTTGGACAATTTGGGGCATCATGGCCTCATTTGGGGGTCAATTTGGTCCAAGATGGCACCAAATTCACCCCTAAGTTGGCCCCAACTTGGCCGAAGTCAGTCCAACTTTAGCTCAACTTGGGGCGACATGGCGCCCACTGACCTCAATCTGAGCCCATGTTCCGAAGATGTTGCCACGTTTTTTTCGGTCTGTGACCGCCAAGATTCCTGTTTGAGACCGATTGAACCCACAATGCTGCAAGCTTTGCGTGGATGGGTCGATGGATCACTTTTTTCCGGACCATGTTCCCGCGTTGAGTTCATGTTACGGTCAACTTCACCCCAAGTTGAACCCAAACAAACCCAAGTTGCATCATGTTGGGCCCAACTTCAGCTGAAAACACGCCCCAATGGCCCCATGTTGGGCTTAACTTGGGCCAAATTGTGAATCAATGATCAGCTTACTGAGCACCACACATGACCACACGACGTGCTTTTCGGCCGATACTACGACGTTGACTGCGCCTTGACACCTTCGGTGCGGGCCGATGTTGTGAGGATGTTTACACAGAAATGATACGTCATGATGTGCGTCATGCAGTACGTCCTTCCTCGACTTAGAAACAAGTGACAAATGGCCAAAGCCCCCAAGCCTTGATGCTCGCGATGAGTGCGGTGCCTTTCTCTGAAACAAGGCTATTGGTCACGTTGCGTGCTTGATCCCACCTGAGCCATGAACCAATTCTGCTGTCATACTCTTCTACTGTACTTTCTCCGTATCAGGGAGGCATGCTTTCAAGGGTTGATTCTTCTATAGAAAAGCTTGAACCTCGGAACCGCCGCCAAACAAGACAAACATCGAATCGATCTGTCGCATGCCGCAAGATCCTCATCGAGGTGATGAGATGTGATGCCGAGGCCAATGCCAATCAATGAGTGATGCAAAGCAAAGTGGACCATCTGCCTGGCACACATGAGACATCAGGCCATCCACTTCCTCTCTGGCACAGGTGATGAGACCGTGAAGCTGCAGGGCACAACCACTTCGCAACAAAATGGGCGCGGTTGGTCTCATCCATTTCTTTGCCAGGAACATCTCGTCTTGAGCTTGTCCAGTTGCCCTAGACATCACGTTAGCATGTTCGATCACTTTCGGCAGCCGGTGCTGCGGAACAAGAAGCGCTCACTCCGACTCCTTCGCAGTACCTCCCAAACATATCTTGACAAGCTGCTGTTTCAAATCACAAATCCAACTGAGGGTCACTGGATGGCGGTTTAACTTTCTTGGCCACTAAATAAACTGAGAACGCAACGATGTCAAGGTTCCACTGTTCAGACTGAAAAACATGCCATGTCGCTTGACCCCGCCCCTGCAATAGGCCTGCAATCTGGCTCGCCTAATCTAGTCACAGTGGCAAAAAAAAGTCCTGTCCTTACAACAAAGCAAAAACGAAGGCAAACAACAAGGGAAACCGCCGATCCCACCAAGGCGCACCACCAGGACCTCTTCGAAAGTCGTAGAGTTTGAGCCCTTCCACATCCTGTACCAAGCGCCTCTCCCAGCCAGGAACATCGAAGAAATGGCTCACCTCATTTTGGACGGAACGCGAGCTAAGCAGCTTCAGATTCAGGTGACAACAACTGCCAATTGCCTTGGACCCTCGAACATCTCTTGTGAATTCTTTTGGGAAACCATGGGAAACCACTCCAGTGAGTGTTGTCGCCTGCTGCTAGCAAACTTAGAGCAAGCACGGCGAGTCGACTAGGACCCCATGCCACCGCCGCATGAGGAGGCAACTCCTACCACCACAACTTGTCCAACTTGTCCGACGGAATGGACCGACCGATTCTCGAGAGGTGTGATGTTGAGATCCATGCCAATTCTAGCAAGTAAGGCGGAAGAAATCTGAAAGGTGATAGCGACAGTGCAACGAGGAAAACACACAACGTTACAAAGTGCGTCACAGAGAAAAACAGAGCTCTCGCACCAAATTCCATCCTTTTCTTCTTGACTCTCATGTGGGTGCTGTTGTTCTTCATCATTTCTGCTTCAACGACTGGAAAAAATGACAAAACCTCGCGACAGCAAGCCAGCTCCACTGGTCTCTGCCGCTGGGACACGCCTCTCAGCGCTAAGGCGCCAGGGACGGAGCCAGGTGCCAGGGTCATCGCCACTGGCAGCGCGGCTCAGCTATGCTCAGCTCAGAAATGGTGGGAATAGATCATCGCCTCATAGGTGGGGTAAGGGTACAAACCACTCTCCATAAGTCCCTCCGCCTTGTCGACAGCAGCCCTCAAGGCCACCATCTGTGGCTTCACAGTGTCACACAGGTAGGTGGCCTCATCTGATAGAGAGCTGTGGGGCTTTGAGGCGAAAGACGCCTTCAGCTTCTCCAAGTGCTCAACGATTCCCTCGTAGACCGACTTTCGGTTGCCCGCCAGCTTGTCAAAGCCCTTGTACTTCTCCAGATCCTGGAAAAAACCAAATGCGAAGCTCGGGAGAAAACGGTGTGATGTGTTGTTTATCGCACTTTTCCGAATCCTTCAAGAACATGACGCTAGAGATTTATATCTAATTATATAATATGCAAAAAGGAATGCGTGTACGGTGAAAGTCCAAGACCGGACCTTGGCACATGCCGGCAGGATGCCAGTCTCAGTCATCTGGACCATGGTCTCCACCTCGCAGCTCATGCACGAGATGTAGTTCTCATACATCACCTCCTGACGTGCTTCGGTCTCCTCAGCGGTGTAGATCTTCAAGGACTCCAACAACTTCTTGTTCTTCTCAGAGTTCCAAGTGGCAATGGCCTTGGGCGTGGTGTTGAGGTTTGGCAGGCCACGCTTGCTAGCCTCAATGGGCCACTCAGTGGAGTAGCCGTTGCCGGTGAAAATCACGTGCTTGTTCTCCTTGAAGAGTTGTGCCACAGCGTCACGATGGCTCATGCCACCCTCAATCAAGCCAGCCAAGTGAGCCATTCCCGCGGACATGATGGCGTTGCAGACCTAACCAGAAGTGCTGGGCGTGGGTGTTCAGTTTGGTGCCTGTTTGGCTACGTTGAAACAACAAGGGTAATTGGAAGAATGCGGAGAATGTCAAAACATCCAGTGAATGAGTTTCAATCTATGATGCAAAAGAATGCTTGGTTGATGTTCAGTGTCAATATGTGTCAATTATATAATCGTGCCATTTACTACTATGATCTGCCCTCTGAAGAATGTCTCAGACTCTAACAGTATGTATGTCATAAGAATATTTTTGTTGAACAGGTTCATTTCCTCCAATCCCATCACAAGGACGCTACTAGGGGCTCCTGGCCGTACTACTAGGAACAAGGACGCTACTGTAGGGTTTGGCTCCAGGCAGCCATCACTGGGAAGCAGCAATTCTGCGATGAGCCCACGGCGCGGAACTCGAAGCGGTTTCCGCAGAAGGGGAAGGGCGCTGTGCGGTTCCGATCCTCCACGTTGGCCTCGATGTGCATGGCAGCGCTGCAACCGGTGGACTGCTTCTTCTTCTCGGCCTCGAAATGGGTCGAATCCCTGTACAACTCCACTTTCTAACTGAGACTGGTCTATCATGGTTTATCTCTTGCTAGACTCATTTGGATGAGAAACTGAGGAGGTCTACCATTCATTCGTTTATTTGTTGATTCAATCATTTACTCAATAGAAATTGGA